ATATATATATTTAGTTATAAAATTAAATAATAAACAATAAAATTTAACATTTTCGAAATGATAAAAATGTTGGGAAAAATACGTATTTATGAAATGCATATCCTAATTTCTACCAATAAAAGATAAATATATGGAATCATATTTTTAGACACTTGTGATTGTTGTTTCATTTAAAAAATGTGGAGACTTTTTTTTTAATGACTGATTTGACAGATGAATGTAAAACACAGCAATCAATTTTCAGAGTTATGTTTATCAATGTGGTATTAAACGTTGCAATTAAAAGTACAACAAAAAGCAATGACAGTTACATTATGCTACATCTTCAAATGTCATATTTATAAAACGAGGTATTAAACATATTTTAAAGGTTTTCTGAGGTGTTGTGACCCAATCTTCAAACTATGTTTCTTAAAAAATCCGCAGTTGGCTTGATGACTCGTGTCACGAAGCGAAGGTCCAGTATTTGCTCGAGACGCTAACATTCGCTAAACTTGACCACCCTGTCAGAAAACTCACATATTTTGCTATTTGCAGCTACAATGTCTGCTCCAAGTAAATCTATTGAAAAAAAATGTGAGGGACCTTGACAGATATTAATTTCTACCAACTAAACAGAAGGAATCTCAACTTTTTAGGGTGGAAGGGGCACCTGTCAAAAGCGCCTGATGGTGATCTCGACTCAAATACAAATAAATCCTTCACGCAAAAGTGAAATCTGCTGAATGTATCGACCGAACAACAAACACACTCCTTTCTGGTTACTTGAATCGTTTATTTTGCGTGAAATCAAGCAATAACACAAATGTGGAGAGACGAGGCAGTGCTTTCAAATCCTAATGCTCGTGATTCGGGGATGCTGTATGTATGCTTCCACCTCCTTTTTTTCAGTAATCATCCATAATCGCCGAATGCCATCATCACAGCCATTACCGTATATGAAAGATATGATGGCATATTTGCGGCGGCATTTGGAGCAGAGCTTACATGGTGTTAAGATGGATGCTTGCTTGGGGTGCGGAGAGGGGAAGTGGGTGGTGGTGGGGGGGGGGGGGTCGTTCCCCAATGACAGCGGCCCAGCAGGCGTTGTTGGTCTGTCTCTCTGTCTTCGGGCCCTTGGGTCTTCCAGGTCCTCCGGAGAGCAGAAACCTCTGTTGGGCCAAGAAAAGCTGCGGGGCCCCTATTGGCAGCGAGAAACCAATCTGGCCAATTTTGCCGGACAACATCAAAGCGCACGGTGTATTTCCTCCAATTGCGCAGGCCCCAATGACAGCACAGGAGATGCTTCCTTTGTCATCTGTCAGTTTTGGGATTACAAATTTGTATGTGTTGCTGAGACACGCAAAGGTCCACGTAGTCTTACAAAGGAGACGAAGGACCATGTAAAAAGCAACTGCAAGGTGGGAATGAAATTTTATGTTGGAGCATCCCGACTGCAGACATAAATTCGATTTTTCCACATACACTATGAAAGGGACCTGAGTCAGAATAGTACTGTTTGCACCCACATGGGGGGGGGGGGTAGAATTGAATAATGTCACACTGGGTACGCAAATGGAATTGACCTGTAGTATGAACATATTTTTGACTTGAGCTGAGTTTACATGCAGACGTTTTGCCATTCCGAGTAAAATCTTATCCAATTGAAAATCTCTGGTCAACTGTTTACATGGGACGTAACGCCGTGACATTTCTGGAGGCTGCCCAGACCAGCCTCTGTGTCAAGGGCAAAACAAAATCTCACATTAAGTCCTCCTGGCCAGTAGTTGGCGCTCGACAGTGGCAGTCCGACCCATTGGTGAATCATCATTTTCATCAGAAAGGTCTTTGCTCACAATTGTTGTCAGCGTATTAAATGAAATTTTTGATCCAAAGTACTTCGAGGTATCGGTGCTCAGTGAGTGCTCAAGAGTGAATACTTGGACGAGTATTGGTTTGAAAAAGTGGGATGAAACAAAAATAAACTCCCTCCCCTTTCTCCAATGCATTTGGAGTAGGCATCAATTCTATTTTTGCGATTCGCAGTCGCTATCCCCGATCCCACTGTTATAGGTGGCTCCAACTGCCCTGAACAGGATATAGAAAATGGAAGAATGCTTTATAGACGAATAGGGCCTTTTTTATTTGAACCTGAGGGGATCCTCGCAGTGTCCCGCTACAAAGCACCACGCACCTGTCACCCCTTCCGCCATTTATTTACATTCACAAAAAAGTCAAATGTGGCAAAATGTTACCTCCCCAAACCCAAAGGTGTAGCTGGATGCCGGAAAGGTGAAGACCGCACCACCTCCCCATCTGCTTCCATGCTGTCTTGCCTCCCCCCCGCCACACACACACACACACCACAAATCTGACGCACCCTCCCTCCATCGCTGCCTCACACGCACGCACAAGCGCACTACATTCTCCAAGAAATAATTGCTTTTGTCTGGAAGGAGTGCACGGGGGAGGGAGGGATAGGGGGCGCGCGCACTCCCCCTGTGGAGGAAAAAGGGGGTCTTTGAAGGACAACGAGTCACTTCTGCCTCCCTAACCCCCCC